GCTCCTTGCTGCTGCATTTTAAAATTAGGCTAGAGGTGGGGCAACGTTTGCCCCTTGTGAATCAGAAGTATACTAAATACTAAATGTACTTGCTTTGCCTTTAAAAAAAATAATACTTAAATTACTATCCTTATAAGCAATTGAATCCTAGTAAAAGGCACATTTTTCCTTTACCTGGGAGGGACAGCATGGCTATCCCAAGGTTAGAGGGCTCCAGTTAACGTGTCGGCTCAGTGTTCTGGAGAACCAAAACTGTAATTTAGATAACATGCCTAAGTTTAACCTGGGTTACCCAAGGACTCTAGATAATGTATTTACCCAAAACTGTAATTTGGCTGTAAATTGTCTTTTTTTTGAAAACTAGGTTCCTCATTCCAAACCTTGAGTTTAAAATTAAGTTGTCATGACCTAGAGCAAAGAATATTCTTACATGGTATTATTCTACAAGTTTTGTTAATAAATTTTGATGCTTTACAACGGTATATTGTGCATTTATCCCAAACAAACTTACAAATTAATTCTACATGAAAGGATTTATTCCCTCCTGGGAAGGCACTTAAGCATTCTGTATTGACCTCTCTTGACCTTTTATTTTGCCAAGGGGATTCCAATTGTCTACAGCTGTTATCTGAGCTCTCTGTTCAAACTGAGATCATGAAAAGCTGGTACCATGGAATTGTCTCTTGCCCAATGGCGTAAGCTGGGCCCTCTCTGGAGAAGAAACCTGGGTTCTCTATGATCAATGCCAGGGCCCCGCCAGCAAGCGAGGGGATCCAAAGGCAATTGCTGGGCATGGAGGCCAGAGGGACATAGGTTAACAAGGAGACAGAACTGAACCTCACATCACCCTACTTGGCCCAGAGAGTACGGCTGGTAGTCAAAGACGGGTAAGACCCCTCAGGGAGGGGCGACCTAAGACAGGCACAGTCGGGGGGCCAGTAGGAGAAAACTTGGGGTTCAACAGAGGTGGGGCACAGATCCTCACCCCCCCCCAATGGTGTAGGGGCTTGAACACTCGCCCCTTCTGAGGAAGGTCTCCTGTCCCCATGGCTGCTTCTTGCTTCCCATGCCCAGCCCAGATCAGGAACCAAATAACAGAAGAGACTTGGTCCAGCTGAAAATGGTACCCAGAAAAACGAAGGCTTAGTTAACAGACTCTAAATTTAAATCTAGCCTAACAGGAATGCTTAAGCCTCCTCAAGAATGTAAAGTGATCCTTTCAATTAATATTCACAGTGCAAATTAAGATTATTGTTAAAAAATTAAATTTGACAGTAAAATAGTTGTCAAGTTTTCGAATTAAATTTGGCTAATTTGAAATAATAATTATTTCAAAAGGTATTAACCCAAATTTTCATTTCGTAATAAAATTGCTTAACATGCTATG